CATAGTCTCAGTGGTTCCAGCAGGCTCTATCAGACCAGCAAACCTGGTGCCACGCTTGTAATCTTAATGGATCTGAAGGAAGACTGGGCAATCTACTTCCCTAGAGATACCTCCTCGAAATCCAAGAGGGGTCACTACAAGTCGAACTGACTCGATGGCAGTGAGTTTGGTTTTGGAATCTTAATGGAAGCATCATTCTCCTGCACAATGGCTGGTTGGATTGGTAGGTTAGCAGCCAAGGGCTTGCTGAGACCATAACCACCGTGCCACCAGGGCTCCCTGCATTTACATTTGGTGAGTACTTAATGAGGAGTCCTGGTGGCACAGTGGTTAAGTGCTCAGCAAGTGGCTGCTAACCAAAAGATCAGCAATTCCAATCCACCAGCCACTCCAAGGGAGAAAGATGTGGCATTCAGCTTCCATAAAGATTGCAGCTTGAAAACCCTATGGGTCAGCTCTATCTTTTCTTACAGGGTTGCTATGAGTTGGAATGACTCGATGACCATGGGTATGAGTACTTAATGTCAGTGATGAGCACTTATAAACTAAGCAACCTTTTCTTAGATACAACTATATGTATACTGAATTATTTATATATTTTTGAGTCGAGTGGCTTGCGAATTAAAAGATAATTCAAGTAATATCCTCTGACTTTTTTTTTTTGGTGGAGGAGAGATGTGAGTCATAGGGAGTCACGAGAAGGTTTTCAAATAGAAAAGTCTCCACCACCAAGAAAATGTATTAAAAGATACCAGTGGCAGAGAATTTCTGTTTCAACAGTGATAGGACTAAATGCTGTTTATATGATAAATGACCAAGGAAACAGGACAACATTTACATCTGTTATATGAATGTGGATGAGGAAAGAGCCTTGAGGTAACTACTTAGTATACTGACTCTAGATTACTTTCCTTGTCTGCCATAATTAGAGAGACAAACACAGACCCTTTTGAGTGAATTAAATATAATTTTCATTTTGTTCCACAAATGTTTAATTTAACATTTCACTAGCCTGGTAGCAAAAATTAAATTCTCTATATCTACAGTCAGTTATTCTCTTGAAGAGTTTTACTTCTGGTTTCAGTATTTAAATGACAAGTTCTAGCAATGTGACAAATTAGCTGATTCACAATGCTCACTTAAGAAATCTATAGACTATTTGATAATACACAGCTCAGGGTGGGGAAAAAAAGGTTTTTTTTTCCCTAAGTTAAATCTTTAAAAATATGTAAGCTTATTTCAAGCACATGGAAAACAATAAAAATGATACAATGACTAACTATGAACTCACCATGCACTCTGTCCAATTGCAACATTTTGACATATTAAGCTTAGATTAAAAAAATAAATACAATGTTTTAGATATAAAGTCCCTTGTATATGCCTCCCAGATCCTATTCCTTTTTCTCCCTCCCAAGGTAATGACTTACGGTTCTGAAGTTGGTGCTAATTATGCCCATGCTGTGGCCATAAACTTTACTGTTTATTTACACATAAACAATATATAAAATTGTATATTTTGTACTTTATGTAAATGGTGTACCAGATATATTATTCTGCACGTACCTTTTGTTGTTTAGTGTAGCTCTAGTTGTTTTCAGATATATCCCATTATACCCAAGTTCATCTTGGACTTCAGTTTGCAATCTTTTGCTACTACAAATAATGATTGTTTCTAATTTTTCGTTACTACAAACTATGCTGCTATGTACATTTTTGCCCACATCTATAGGGTTGCTAAGGAGCTCTGGTGGTGTTAAGACATTTGCCTGTTAGCAAAATGGTCTGTGGCTCAAACCCACCAGTTGCTTGGGGGAAGAAAGATGGAGCAGTCTGTTTTCATAAGATTTACAGCCTTAGAAATCCACTGGGGGTTGCCATGAGTTGGGATCAACTCAATGGCAAAGAGGGTTTTTTTGTTTTTTTTTTGGGGGGGGGGAATAGGGTTGCTCATGGAGCTCTGCTGGTGCAGTAGTTAAGGCATTTGGCCTTCGGCAGTTCAAATCCACCAGCTGCTCCTCCACAGAAAGATAAGGCAGTCTGTTTCCTAAAGATTTACAGCCTTGGAAACCCTTTGTGACAGTTCTATTCTGGCCTACAGGCTCCCTAACAGTTGAAATCGACTGAATGGCAGTGGGTTTTGGCCTTGTTCATGCGTACAATAGTTTCTCAAGTGTTCACATTCACTAGCATAGAAACATCTGGCAAATGTTATCACAACACAGACTCTGACTCAGCAGGACTGAGGTGGGGCCTGAATTCTGTATTTGTAATAAACTCCCAGGTGGTGTTGATATTGCACAGGGAGTGGAACTACTAGGTTGTAGAGGATGTGCCTCTTCACTGTTATTGAAATGCCTTAGGCACTGTGCCACCAGAGCTGCTTTCAATGTTATTAGGTATTGGCAAATAGCTTTCTGTGCTAAATTGCTTGAACTCATTCACACTCCCATCAGCAGCACACAAGGGCCTCCACTTGTTATTGTCAGACAAATTTTTACTAATCTGATGAGCATGAAGTAGGATCTCATTATTTTAATTTGCCTTTCATGAGTATTAGTGAGGTTCAGCTTTTTTACATTATCCTGTAATAACTCTTAGCTTATAAAGTAATATTTTAGGGGGAATAAAATGGCTTCTTTAACCTGTTTCATACTTTAAAGCTTCTATCTTAGAAAAGATTCCCTTTCAGAAGGCTTTAAATTGTTCCTTTTTAGAAGTGGTGGAAATTAAAGTGGGAAGGAAGAATTGAAAGAATGGGGCTGGAACAGAGTGAAGAGGACTGGATACTGTCCACTCAACCAGATGAGCATCTTAGTCTTGTTTATAAGTAGTGTGTAAAGTGTGGATTCTAAAACCTGGGTTGGAATTCCGATACAACCATTTGCTAGTTGAGTGACCTTGGACAAGTCGCTTAACACCTTGTAATCTGGGCTTTTTCATTTGGAAAATGAAGGTAATGAGAGCACCTAGGTCAGTTAATGATTAAATTAACTGATACAAAGTGCTTAGAATGTTGTCTGGCACAGTAAAAGTTCTTTAAAAACTGAGCTATTGTTAACTTTTAGGGTTTTTTTCCCCCCCATGAAAATATGCTCTTCACCAAAATTGAATCACATTGTACATCCTATTTCATAACAGGCTTTTATCCACTGACTACAGAATGAAAATCCTTCCAAATTATTATGTATCTTCTAGCTCTTTAGAAAGGCCATTTACTATTCCAATATATGAATACATATATTCTTATTGGACACTTCATATGGAATTACTTTGCTCATGAATATTATGTAGCTAAATTACTTAGTGCCTTTTTAATAGTAATATCAGCTCTTAGCTGTTACAAATTTGTTATAAGGTAATTAAGCTAGTTAAATCACTCACCTTATTTGCAGTTCTGTCACTTTGCTCGAGACCCCAGATGAAATGGACAGCTATTGCAGCAACTGTGAAGGGAAGCAGTTTTGCTTAGATCAGGTCTCCCTACAATTGGTTGTTGCCTCACAGGATAGACTCAGGAGATGGTGTCTTTTTTGACACTGGCACATGGCCTTGCTGATTTTTCCCCTGCACTCCCACCAAGTCTGCGCTTACATCTGATCACCACCTCACCACTTTAAGCCCTACTGCCCATTAGCCTAGGCTTAGAAGTTCCTGGCCTTCCCAGACTGTTGATGCCTGCATTAGTACTGCTGTCTTTTTTGAGCTTCTCTGCATTAGTTTCTCATTCTTTCAAATAACCTACACTTGCCCTGGTAATATTTGACAACTTTGGATCTCATTAAATTCACAATTGTGTGTGGGTGTAAACAAAAAAGCAAACTTCAACAATTAAAAAACAAATTTGGAAACACACCCTCTGAGGACCTTGGGAAGTTCAGCTGGGATCCAGGTGAGCTGATTAATTAACCTATAACCGAGCTCTAAGGTTCATTCCATGGAAGTAGGAAATTTCTAGGCTTTAAGTTGGAACAAACATTAGAAAGTTTTTGAGCTTGAGATGAAAGCAGTAACTTATGGTTTATTCACCATCTCTGCATCAAGGATGGTTTCAACTTAAACTCCCTAGGTGTACACTCTGTTCCAAATGCTGGGGTTTCAGAACTGTGGCTTGAAATCATGTATTTCTTCAAAAAGCATTAACAGAGATTCTAGATCCCCTGAGTGAATTTTACACATATAGGCTAAAATAATTTGGAGTGCTTATCTTTTATAAAGTAAGGTTTTCACTTTAAAAAAAAATCAGCTTAACTTTGGACCCCTATTAGGAAACTGCTCTGGCAGCACTAACTTCTGAGGCCTGAGAAAAGGAGCACACAACTCATACATCTGCCTCAATTCATGACAGGTTTTTGGCTTCCTGATCAATCTATGGAATGTCAGAGCTTCCCCCCTTGATATCCAAACATATCTAGAGCTTCTACAAGTTGGCAAATCCTGGCTTCACTACACAAATTATTCACATGAGATCACAATTCCTATTCCTCTTTCCATTTATCCATTTGACAGGACAATGTAAGAAATAAATAGAATTATATGGAAATTAGGCAATGATAACAAACCTTTGCTATCATTTAAATTGCTATTTATCTCTTTGAGATTTTAACATGAATAATGCTATTGATGTTTATTCTTGAAGCAGCTAAATATTTGAGCTTTTTCTCTGCTTAATAATTCCAGGAATGACCACTTTCCTGTCCCCCACTCCAAATTTTTTTAATTAAAGCATAACTTCAAAGAATGAGAAAGTAAAGTTCTGTGGAATGAGGAAAATACTTTATTCAGTTTACAAGGACAGTTTTCAGTTCCATTTATAATTATATCTTACTATTCATAATTATAGTAAGACAATTCCCTGCTTTCTCAGCACATGCTGTTTCACTTAAATAGTTTGAAATGTTAAATTTTAACACCTCTAAAATTAATATTATGTGTTTATATGTATACATATCTACTTTCTTATAGGAACCACTCAACACCTGACTGTAAGTATCAGCCTTCTAAATATTTAAAAGCTCCACAGGTGGTGGCTTTAATGGAATTTTTCCCAGAGTAAATTTCCTGCATTGAAATTGTTCGAGTTCTTCTGCTGTTAATTGATCCCTGGGTGTGAATAATATATTATCTGTTGTGATGCAGCCATTTGGGACTGGGAGAGAAGTGGCTATGTTTCTATTTCCAAACATGTTATTTGATGGCTTAGAAAAAGCAGTGTTAGACTGTGAGCCCGGGCTACCAAAGGAAGCCACAGAACCACTGCTTCCGAAGCCTGTCGCTGCTGGAGCTCCTACAGGGCCTCCTGCCAAGGAAGCTGGAAATGCTGAAAATCCGGGTGATCCAAAACCAGAAGCTGCAGAACTTTTAAATGAAAATGAAGTAGGAGATATGATTCCAGGTTTCCCAAATCCAAATGCTGGAGCACAAGCAGTGATGGCAGAATTGGCAGAGGGTGCAGCTCCAAATGCTGGAGGACTCCCGAACACCGAAGGGTTTCCAGAAGAGGCCATGACAAATCCAGAGCTTGGTTTAAAACTAAAATTCTGAGCATTATCCTGGCTGTTGTTATTCACTGGAAAACCTACAAAGCCAGGTAAAGAAAAAAATAATATATGATTAACAAGAAAATGTAGCCATTTTATTCCCATTTTCTTTGGTCTGTTTCTTCCATGTTTGGTTACTGACAAGTTTATTAGAAAGAAAAGTGAAAATGCGAAGCTATAAAAACCCACCTGAATCCTACCAATTTCATATTCACTGTGATTCATCTTCAGCCAGGGAGGATGGTGGAAGCTTTGGAAAACCTCAGGGACTAGTGAGTGGACTTTATTTTAGGCTTGCCACCCCACATCCCCAAAGCTGTTTTGAGGGTGTAATCATGCTGTTATACATGCAGTAACAAGAAGGGTCTCAAAGTTGTTGCTGCAACCATAGCTATCTATTCTCATGAAGTTCTTGAAAATCCACCCGTAAAATGTATTTCTAAAGCCGGAGCTGTAGGGTCTTTCAAACAAGTATGCTCACTCTGGTCTCACTTTCACAAATGCTTAATGAGCCAGGTCTTTTGAGGCTCCATAACGGATGGTAGCAGTTATTTGCAAAGGTGATTTAAAATGGCACTATACGTGTATTCAGGCTTTGTGATACTAAAACTATAAAATGCTAAATCAGTGCATTACTTGATCACTTACCTGCTGACCCAACTGTTGGGGCTTGCCCACAGCCAAATCCCAATGCAGGTGCTGCTTGATTGCCTCTATCTTTTATACCCGAGAGCTTTAAAAACAACATACAGATAATAAAGTGCTTTATGAATAATTCTCACGTAAGATGTCTTTTCTATACACTTCGTAGTCAAGTCCAATTTTTAAAATGTGCATTTAAAAATGTGAAGTTAAATGTTTAAAATGGAAAAATGGCCTTAATATGATGTTGAAAGGGACATTAATACTGTGTAAATGGTACAATCTGAATAATAAATATGAATCTGCACAGACAAAAATGTATCAACACCAAGTTAAGAGTGACTGTCTCTGCGTGAAAGAATTATGGGTGATTTTATGCTTTGTTATCCTTTTTAAATTTCTACCAATCTGTTTTGGCTACCTAGTGCTGCTCTGACAGGAATATACCACAAATGGGATGGCTTTAACAAACAGGAGTCTAACAATCTGGAGGCTTTAAGTCCAAGTTCAAAGTGTCAGGCTCTAGGGGCTGGGTGAAAGCCCCTCAACCTTGGGCTTCAGCTCTGCTTCTTGCTCCCGGCTCACTGAAGCTAGAGGTTTTCTTCACTCAGACAGCTACTGGCTGCTAGGCTGACAAACCCAAGGTTGACAAGTAAAAAGATACAGTCCCGATGTTACCAAACCACATGGCAAGCCACTAATTCAAGTCCATTGAAAGTCTCAAGGTTGGCAGAGCAAGGCAGGATGTTGAACAATGACATAGCCACTTACAGGGTTCAAATGTGCCACAAGCTAGAGATTGTTCCCCAGGAAGCAGACCACATCCCTAAGGCAGCTACTCAGGTGCTCACAGTACATTCCACCATGGAGTTGATGACCAGTCTCATCATGGGGAATACTACATCCAGTTGCCCAGCCACTCAACAAAGCCCAGCCAAGGTGACACACAAGTAACTACCACACAACCCAAACCCAATGCCGTGAAGTCAATTCCAACTCATAGTGACCCCCATTGGGTTTCCAAGGCTGTAAATCTTTATGGAAGTAGACTGCCTCATCTTCCTCTCACAGAGCAGCTGGTGAGTTTAGAAGCACTGACCTTCTGATTAGCATACAAATGCCTTACCCATTATGCCACCAGAGTTCCTTAAATTATATATTAAAATCAGAAAAAAAATTCTAATTGTAAACTTCAGTGTTTATATTATAAATTTGGATCAGCATTTATCAAAGAAACCTGGATGCTACTAGGTGAAGGAACCTTTATAGGATACCCAGTCTACTTTGTTTGAACTGAAGTAGATTCACAATTACATTATAAAAAGTTTATTAAAATCAATTAATTAAAAAATGTCCTAGTCCCTGAAAATACTTTTGCTATTCCCTGCTGTAGTAATGATGCCCTTTATTTCTACTTACTGAATTTTCATCCCTCTCTTTAAAGGGACTTTTTACTTATTCCTTCCATACAAGAAGTCTTTCACGATCAATGCATTTGGACCTAATTTCTCTCATTTGAAGGCCCCAATTAAAAAAAAAAAAAAATTCAACTTTACTGAGGTATAATTTACATACAACAAAATGCATTTTTTTTTCGTATATGTCAGTGAATTGTGGAAAATTTATAACCACTACCATAATCAAGATTCAGAACATTTCCATCACCCCTAAAACTTCCATATGCCTCTTCCCTGGCAACCCCTTCTCAACCGCTAACACTATAGTTGAGCATTGTCCTTTATGTTGTTATTAGGTACCATCAAGTCGGATCCACTCATAGAGACCCATACAAAAGAACTTGTTGTAAACCCTTGCTTAAGCCCATCGTTCTACCCACTGTGTCAATCTATCTAAAGGGTCTTCCCTTTTCACTGACTTTACCAACTATGATATCTGTGATAGTTAAATTTGTATGTCAACTTGGCTGGGTCTGGTTGAGTAGCTGGGCAGCTGGTGGTAGTTATTTCCATGATGAGACTAGGCAATCAACTCCATGGTAGGATCTACCACAAGGAGCTGAGTAGCTGCCTTTGGGATGTGGTCTGCTTCCTGTATATAAGGAGAATCCTTGGGGATAGTCTCTAGCTTATGGCATGCTTGGACCTTGCGTGTAGCTGTGTCGTTCTTCAGCAGCCTGCCATGTAAGTCCCAGACCTTGGGACTTACAATGGACTTAAACTAATGGCTTGCTGTGTGGTTTGGTAACATCGGGACTGTGCCATTTTTTTTTGGTCTACCTTGGGCTTGTTAGCCTCAGCAGTCAGTAGCTGTCTGAGTGAAGAAAAGCCTCTAGCTTCAGAGGGCTGGGAACTGGAGGCAGAGCCCAAGGCTGAGGGACTTTCACCCAGCCCCTACAGCCTGGCACTTTGAACTTGGACTTAAAGCCTCCAAACTGTAAAAGATTAAACTCCTGTTTGTTAAGTCCATCCCATTTGTGGTATATTCTTGTCAGAGTGGCACCAGGTAACCAGAACAATATCCTTCTCCAGGGAATGGGTCCTTCTGACAACATGACCACAGTAAGTGAGAAGAAGTCTGGCCATTCTCATTTCTAAGGAGAATTCTGGCTGCACTTCTTCCAGGACTTTGTTCTTCTGGAAGTCCATAGTATTTTCTGTTCTTTGCCAACTGCACAATTCAAAGGCATCAAGTCTTCTTCAGTCTTCCTTATTCACTGTCCAGCTTTCACATTCATATGAGGACACTGAAAATACCAAACACCATGGCTTGGGTTAGGCACACGTTGGTCTTTAAAGTGACATCTTTGCTTCTTAACACTTGAAAGAAGTCTTTTGAAGATTTACCCAGTGCAATACAACGTCTGATTTCTTGTCTGCTACTATCCTGGGTGTTGATTGTGGATCTAAGTAACATGAAATCCCTGACAACTTCAATCTTTCCTCCATTTATCATGATGTTGCTTATTAGTTGAGTAGTGAGGATTTTTGTTTCTTTATGCAGAGGTACAATCTACACTGCAGACTGTATGTAGTCCTTTGATCTTCATCAGTAAGTCCATCAAGTCATCTTCATTTTCAGCAAGCAAGGTTGTGTCATATGCATACTGCAAGTTGTCAATGAGTGCTCCTCCAATCCTGATGCCGTGTTCTTCTTTGTATAGTCCACCTTTCGGATTATTTGCTCAGCATACAGGGTGAATTAAGTATGTGAAAGGATACAAGCCTGGTGTATAGCTTTCCTCATTTTAACCATACAGTATATTTCCTTGTTCTATTTCAATGACTGCCTCTTAGTTTTTGTACAATTTGTACAATTGTTCTGGAATTCCCATTCTTTGCAATGTTATCCATAATTTGTTATGATCTGCAGTCAAATGCCTTCGTGTAAACATCTTTCTGGTATTTGCTTTCAGCCAAAATCTACCTGACATCAGCAATGATATCCCTCATTCCATGCTCTTTTCTAAATCCAGCTTGAATTTCTGGCAGTTCCCTGTCAATATACTGCTGCACTGTTTGTGAATTATTTTCAGCAAGATTTTAATTGCATGTGCTATCAATGATATTGTTCGATATTTCCACATTCTGTTGGATCACCTTTCTGTGGAATCGGCACAAATATGATCTCTTCCTGTTGGTTGGCCAGGCAGCTGTCTTTCAAATTTCTTGGCATAAATGAGTAAGTACCTCCAGCATTGAATTCATTTGTTGAAACTTCTTAATGGGTATTCCCTATCAATTCCTGGAGCCTTGTTTTTCATTAATGCCTTCAGTGCAGCTTGGACTTCTTCCTTTAGTACCATTGGTTCTTGATCATATGCTATGTCCTGAAATGGTTGAACATCAACCAATTCGTTTTGGTACAGTGACTCTGTGTAATGCATCTTCTTTTGATGCTTCCTATATCATTCTGTCCATAGACTTTTCCAATATTGCAATCTGAGGCTTAAATTTTTTCTTTAGTTTCTTCAGTTTGAGGAAGTTTTTTTTTCTTCCCAGCATGTTCTTCCCTTTTGGTTTTCTAACTCCAGGTCTTTATGTATTTCACTATAATGCTTTACTTTTTCTCCTCAAACTGCCCTTTTAAATGTTCTGTACAGCTCTTTTATTTCCTCATTTCTTCCATTTGCTTTATCTATTCTCTGTTTAAGAGCAATATGCAGTCTCTTCTGTGATACATTTTAGTCTTTTCTTCCTTTTCTGTCTTTTTAATGACCTTTTTGCTTTCTTCATGAATGATGTTCTTGATGTCATCCCACAACTTGTCTGGTCTTCGGCCACTGGTATTCAATGCATGAAATGTATTCTTCAGATGGCCTTTGTCCTTTCTAGAGTTTCATATAAATAGAATCATGTAGTATGTGTTTTTTAGGGGCCTGGATTCTTTCCCTCAGTGGAGTGTTCATCAACAGGTAAACAAATTATAGTCTAGCTATATAATGTATTACTACTCAGCAAAGAAGGAATGAACTATTGATAAATGCTAAGACATCTTGCACGTGGGCTGTCCCAGAGCTTCACCTATGAAGGGGGCCCTAGAAAGCCAGGAAAGTGTAGGGAATTTCCAGCCTGAGGGAAGTTTCTCCAGTTCTTTGGACTCAGCTTTCATCAATAGTGATGGTGGGGACAGATGTCCCTAAATTTAAAATGGCATTAAATCATCCAAAGATGGAAGATATTGGCTTGCATAAGTGTCTAATTATTGAGGAAGCATGTATTAAAGAAAGGGGTGGGGTGTGACTGTCAAACAGTCATTCACTAGGTTTAAGCAGACATTACTTTCATATCCTTTTTTGAGAGCAGAAACGGACTGGCTGGGAAATTAGATTATATTCCAAATGTAAAAATGTTTTAAAATAAAGTTCTTAAGAACGATTTATGGGGTAGAAAAATCATGACAGAGATAATAGAAATGCTACAGTCAGGACCATGTACTCTAGAGACAGATGGGTATAGATGTCCTAAAGGCATTTCTGTGTATGACCAGGAATACACGGTAGTGTTCTTCAGGCATGACAAAAGTATACATTAGTGTAAGTGTGCATTCATACAATTTTTCAAAGCAATTTCTTATCAAACAGACAATCTGAAGTACTTTAATTTGTGTAATGTTTTCTAATTTTCAAAATCCTTACCAAAGTTAAAAATTTTACCCTACAAATATTTTTAGAAAAGCATAATTGTGCTTTTCTGACTGAGGAACAGAAAAAAGACAATTCCAGTATTATGACTGTAAATGATCATTCTTAATGTGTGTATGTATCACAAGTTTTGACAGTTTTTGCTTTGCTTTTCTTATCTAAATGAAACATTCTCTGCAAAAAAATAGATATACCATCCCTGAAGAAAACTCTTCAGTACTCACCAAAGTTATTTTGGTTGATGTAGTTAGAGTTTTTAATTCATTTACCCTGTTCCTCCACTGATTTATTAACTGTTGGACAGAATTTAGCTGGAGAGAGAAAACAAAATTAAGTCAATAGAGTGTTTAAGCTGATCAAATAACTTCGTGTCTTTATTTTCTAAAATCCCAAAAAGTTTATAAACATTTTTATGGCCTCTAACTTGTAAAAATTTGCATTGATTTGCCCCAATTTGCTAAAAATATTTCAGCTTCAATGCCCTCTCTCCACTTTCCAATTGTATAATCTGATTAAGAATCTCAAGCACTTGGCAGCACAGAGTTAACATTTGGAGGGGACTGAACATCTATAGTAACTGAAATACGTGTCAGTAGACAACAGAGGAGCGTAGCATTTAGGCACCCAACTTACACAAACCCAGTAGTTTCTTTTTTCAACTTTGCTATGTAAGAATGTTAATTTGTATGAAAGAGTGCATCACTTTACTTTTCACAGCATTCATATGGTTCCTGCACCTAAGAGATGCTAAATAGATGTTTATCAAATGACAAATAGGTCTGAATTCTGGGACTGGCTCCTGGGTAATTTGTAATTAAAATGATATTCCTAATTTCTATAGTCAAAATATATTACCATTCTAGATAATCAACCAATTTCAAGAAAGCAATTTAGTAAAAAATCTTTTCCTGAAAAAAGCTATAGATCTCATTAGACTTACCAACACAAAAACAAACTACAAACTGCTAATCTGTTATTGGGGTAGATGAATAGGAAATAAACTTACATAACTCTGTAAATTATTGCTGGTTAAGAAGTTATGGTACTGAAGCCTCAACTCCTCTGGGGAAATGTCTGTAAAACCTGAAGTGAGGAAATCAATTGGGATCTTTAAAATAAATGCCAATAATTTTGACAGCATAGCTAGAGATACTAGGCAAGAATATATTGTATAGATTACTTCATAGGTGAAGCTCTGGGACAGCCCACGTGCAAGATGTCTTAGCATTTATCAATAGTTCATTCCTTCTTTGCTGAGTAGTAATATATAGCTAGACTATAATTTGTTTACCTGTTGATGAACACTCCACTGAGGGAAAGAATCCAAGCCCCAAAAAAACACATACTACATGATTCTATTTATATGAATTGTAAGGAAAAATTCTAAGCCCACAATATACGTAAGGAGCTCTGGTGACATAGCACGTTAACACATTTGACTGCTAATCAGAATGTTGGCGGTTCAAACTCACCAGCCACTCCGTGGAAGGAAGACTGGGCAATCTACTTCCGTAAAGATTTACTGCCTTGGAAACCCAAAGGGGTTTGCTATCAGTCGGAATTGACTCAATGGCAGTGATATTTAATAAAGATCAGAATACAGTTGAGTGGTTATTTCATTTCTGAATGGGGAAGAATTACCTAAAAATAGGTGGACTAAAAGCAGTAACAAAGACTATGTCTTTAAGCTTTTTTCTTTAAAAAAATAAAACTTCTGTATATTGGAAACTATAATGAGCAAAATTAAAAAGAAAATGGTAATCTGGGAAAAATAAAATTGCAACATGTATGACAGGAGAAAACCTAGTATCCCTAATGTAGAAATAGCTTTTACAATCAATAAGTTACTGTAAGGAAAGATTATGAACATACAATTCACAAACAGAAAATAAACCAAACAACAAAAAAACTCGGCCAGTAAATAATTCAAATAAAATGTTCAATTTAAAAATACCAACTAAAAATAGAGAAAATGGTTTACTTTTCACTGGCAAAAATAAGTTTTCACTGTTATGAAGGATGTGGTGAAATGGAAACTCTCCCAAATGCTATTAAGGGAATTAAAAAGGTACATTTCTGGAGGGAAAATTGCCATTAAGCAAATGTTCATGCCCTTTGATCTGTAAGACAATTTCTAGGTTATTACCTCAGGAAATAATTAGATATATAAACAAAGGGTGTTATATAAAAGGAAGCTCCTTCCACTATTTTAATTAAAAGAAAAATACAGATTATCTTAATTTTAATAATCAACAATATTTTGTAAATGTTTTGAAATACAAATGTTATCTGTGGTATCAGTTGTTTTTCACTTACGTATTCCTGTACTTTCTAAGTTTTATGCAGCAATAGCGTTAACCTAATTATGAACATTTTTATTAAGGAAATGTTCATCATATATTCAGGATATGTTCTACAGAATACCTTTTAATCCAGATAATAAAATTCTGAGAACATCTAGCTCAGAATAGAGACTACTTCCAAATCCCAACCCTGCTCATCCCAATCTTTAACTGCTCAAATAAAAAACCTAGGACCATCTCACCTGGGATTCCTTTTTCCCAATATTGTTAATTACATCTTGCCAGCTCTAGCTCCAAAACAAAACCCAAATTTGAACTTTACCTCCAATATACTCAACACTTACAGTGGTCTCCCAGCTCATCTCTACTTCCATTTTTCTTCAACCCCTACCCATGTTTTCCACAGCAGCCAGAATGAGCTTTTTCTAATCAGGTTATATCCTCTCCAGCTGAAAGCTCTTCATGGCTGCCTCTCTGGCCTTGTCATATTACTCTTCCCTTATCTACTAATCTCTCCAGTGATTCAGACGTAAGGAAGATTGGACAATCTACTTCCAAGTCAGACCCAACTCACAGCAACTCCTCCTTGGGTTTCTGAGGCAGTAGCACTATGAAAGTAGATTGCTGAATCTTCCTTCCAAGGAGTGGCTGCCAGCCTGCTGGTTAGCATCAAATGCTTTAGGCACTATGCCACCAGAGATACCAATTCAGAAGCCCAAGGAGGGGTTGCTATGAGTTGAAATGGATTCGATGGCATCGAGTTTGGTTTTCTTGCAGTGATTCAGGCCTCACCAGTTCTCAAACATGCCAACTTTGTTCCCATCTCAGGGTCATTTGAACTATTCCTGCTACCAGGGACGTTTCCCCAGATCTTTCTATACCTAACACACTCGCACTTCTCAGAACTCTGCCATGCAGGACTCCACTCCAACAGTGCCTTTTAAGAAAAACGTTATCAATCATGGGAGAAGGAAGGGCACCTTATGCACAACTTAGGGGGCAGGAGAGTATGGAAGGATGGACACTGGGAAGTGGTACCTTGGGGAAGAAATTGGAGGGGAGCTGTTGCATTGTGGTAAACTGTGGTCAATGACATGAGACAAAGTATATGTGAACTGCTGTATCGAGAGTGAATTTGCTCTGTAAATCTTCACCCAAATCTAAATAAAATTAAATTAAAAAAAAGAAAAAACGTTATCTAAGGAAAGTCTTTCCAGTTCCTTTATATACTTTCCAGTCATGCTCAACCAGGATTCACTTTGCACAGCATACAGAAAATGATTTGAGTGACTGTTTGATTCTGACTGCCCCTATAGGGCTTCCAAGGCTTTCTTTATGGAAGCTGACTGTCTCATTTATCACAAGGAATGCCTGGTGGATTCTTAACACTGACCTTCTTGTTAGCAGCCTAATGCTTTAATCATTACCCCACCAGAGGTCCTCTCCAATTATCCCAGGCACGGTTCAAAGCTATTATCATTCTTGCTGCATATCCATTGCCAGTTGATCTTGACTTTGTAAGGACAGAACTGCCCACTCCATTTCCAGAGTAGCTGGTGGGTTCAAACTGCCTCTCTACATTCAAGTGAATTCATTATAGGCTGTTAGGATGCTGTTCCAATTCATAACGACTCTACGTACAATTTAACAAAATACTGCCCAGTCCGGCACCATCCTCACAATCTTTCCTGTATTTTTCATTATATATATATGGATCCTAATGGGCAAGATTCTCAAATATTGTCTCAGGATCCATTTAACATTCTTAAAGAATGTTTTCCATTAAAGAATCCATGTATCTTTTGTTTATATGGATTACATTATCAGGATTTAACATATTCAAAATTAAAGCTGATAAAACTTAGAAAAAACTAACCAAAATATCCAGTGGGGTAAGTGACACTGTTTTATAAATTTCTAAATCTCTTTAATTATTAGTTAACAGATTGATGGGATCTTATGTCTGCTTTGGCATTCAATCTGTTGCAACATGATCTGATTGAAGTATCTAAAGAAAATTTATCCTCAGAGATAAGCAGTTGGAAACAAGATTTTTCCTTTTTTGTAATAACTTTATTTTTCTGTTGACAACATAAACAGCAAAACAAATTCAAAGTCTGTACATACACCACAGTGACATTGATTATAGAGTTGTGCAACCATTCCCACTCTAGTTTTACTTCCCACATTAACATAAATTGACTGGTCCCTAAGGTTCTTATCTCATCTTTCAGACTGCTGTTGTCAATTTGATCCCACCTACAGTTCTTGGCAGACATTCTTACTACTTGAAAACTACTGTTTGGTTTTAAGAACATTTCAGGAAATAATTTTGGGCTAAGATTTTACTATTGTCCCAGATAACTGAATGTATTTCAATACTAAAATGGTAGTTTGTTAAAAGTTACAATGAGGGCTCAAACCATATTAATAAACTACATACTATTACATTAAAATCAATTCTTGAATTCAAAG